GGTGTCTTTTACCAAAATCAAGGTTTTAATTTCAATGAAGTCCTATTTAATGATTTTTTCTTCATTGGATATGCTTTTGTGTCTTTCTTAAGAAATCATTTCCTATTGTAATGCCATCAAACTATGATGAATGGTTCATAGTTTTACTTTTTAATAAAAGTATTTATTATTAAAGTGTGTACTTATTAAAACCACAATGCATCCTTCGGTCTTAATCCTTCTGAGATAGAATTCAGTATATGGTATGAGGTAGAGATCAAATTTTGTCCTTTTCTGTATGAACAATTAATTGCCTCATTGACATTTATTGAATGTGGCTTTCTCCACTGATTTATAATGCCATCTCTGCCACATATAAAAAATATCAGTTATATGTAGATTGGTTTCTACGCTGTGTTTTTTTTTAACCAATGGAATATTTGTTTATCTTTGTACTAACTTCTCCCAGTTTTAATTACTGTAGCTTTATAGTAGGTCTTGACATATAGTATAGAAAATCCTCCATTTTTGTTCTTGAAAATTGTCCTGGATATTCTTCATCTTTTATTTTTTCATACAAATTTTAAGATCAGTTTATCAATTTTTATGACAAATATTAGTGGTTTGATTGGAATTAATTTAATTTATAGGTTAATCTTGGGAGAATTTTACAATCTTGATGCTTCCCCCATTTTTCTTTTTATTTATATTTTCTACTGTGACTTTCTAGAAAGTTTCATAACTTTCACCATGAAGGTCTTGTTTGTCTTTTGTTACATTTATCCCTAAATATGTTATTGTTGCTGTATATGTTATCTGTTAGAAAATTACAGGGTTTAACTATCCACTGTGGGAAAGAGGAGAGCAAAGCAAGTCAGTACAGGAGGAAATGCAGAGTGAAACGAGATGAAACCTTTTCAAGTAAGATGACTACAGAGCTATTGCTATGTGTAAATCAGGGGAGGGATGGCGAGACATACTTGCCAGCATATATTTGACTCCCGACAACCAGTACCTAATTAGAGAGGTGGAATGCCTTGCAAGTATCCAGAAGAGCAGTCAGTATTTGTCATCTCATCTGAATCTTGCTGGCCTGAGTGTTTAGAGCAATAGCAATAACTAAAATGAGGAATACAGTGGCCAACCTATGACAGGGGAGTAACACTGACACGTATAATACAGTAGCAATGGCTCTCATTTTCTAAGATGGCTAGAGATTGACTTTTGTGTGGACCATACATATGGCCTTGGGCATCAAATCTCAAAGCCAATCTCCATACTAAAGTACTAAGCTCCTACAGAAAGTAAGGAGGCTTAGTGGGAAGATTTGGGGAAGAGGAGACAGAATTTTGACAGTCTTGATATTACATATTTCATTGCTTCTCAGATGCATAGGAAGTACCTGAACTTCTGTAGTTCAAAGGAGTTTCACAAATTTGCTTTCACACTCCTTTCTTCCAATTTAAAGTAAAATCCCTATAGTTTACACTGTTGACTCAGGCTTTATTAATGTTTTTCTTGACGCAACATTATTCCACTGTAGCATACCTACAAAATTAGAAAACTAAAAGTGTGTTCAAGTAACTGCAGCACAATTACTATGAAATGAAGGAAATTCTGATACCGAATAATCCAAGCTCATTCACACACACACAAACTCAAACACACACACACACACACATACACACACACACACACTCACACCCCTCCTCCCAAACCATTCATATCAGTCTTTCTTTTTTAAAAATACTCATATAGAAATTTTAATATTCCATTACGGAGTCCTTTAGAGAGCCATTTTTATGAATATATATGGGGAATATTTTCCAGTTTATCTAGTATTTTCTTTAGATTACCAATTCCCAGAGGGCCAAAAATCTACCTTTCCTATGGTATGGAAATCCACATCATACCTAATGTAGTGTAATGTATGAAATAGATTCTTAATGCCACTTGCTGCTCAAAGTCCATAATCAGTAGAAAAATTCTACTCTTTATAAAAGCTTCCCATAGCAATAGTTTTATATTGCATTCTTGCCTCCTACTTATTCTGCATTAGGCAACAGACAGACTGAAATACAGGATTGGAATGAACTCATTGCTGAGCTTGTGAAAATTCAAACACAGATGTTAAATCAAAAGCAAAATTCCAAAGAACTGCAGTTTCCTCCATCATTGAAATGTTTACATAATTTTAATTTCCGTACCTTTAACAAATGTCACTGTCATGTTTGTGATATAGATTTTTTTTTTTCCTCCAAAGAAGTGTCTGGGAAACTCTATAATGCAAGTAAGACCCAATGAGTCAGAAGGTGAACATCAAAGTCTAGAGCAGGCAATGGAATGAAGAAGATATTTTAAGCAAAAAAAAAAAAAAAAAAAGAAAAAAATGCATAAGCAGTTATGGAGAGCAAGGAACCAAAGAAAGAATGGAGGGAAAAGTGTTATCACCTAATAAAAACTCAATAAACAGACACTAATGGAGAGAAGCTGGGTGTATACAAGCAACGGCAATCAGATTCAGAAAATGCTTTGAAAGGGAATGACAAATGTTATTCAAATGTCAAACTGGTTCTCCCGATTTTAAAATTTAATTTATTTTTAAATTTACATACAGTAAAATTCATTCTTTGTAGTATGACTCTGCTCAATTTCAATATATGTCAATAGCATCTACAGATCACTCTAGTCACCTGTCTAAATAAAATCAGCAGTGAATGAACACAAACACACGCACACACCCTGCAACCTTCACAGAATGTCATGGGATTTTCTGGCCCTTACACACAAAAGACCAGAACATTCATTGAAAAGAGGACAATAGTGATCTTCTTAACATTCTAGTGATCTCCAAGGGCATAGTAAGATTGTCCTGCCCCAGAGACCTCTCCTATTGTCCCAGTGACAGCAATTTATATGCCTGCAGTGCAGAAACTCTGCACCCTGCTTCGTTGGAATCATTGTTTTCAACTTGTCACAAAGATTTGTACCACTGAGATAAATATTAGTGAGTTAAAATTCTCTATCTTTTTGATTAACTCTCATATCACGAAAGAATATCCTGGAAAAGGGTTATTTCCAAGAACCTTTGGAGAGGGTTTTTGCAATGATACTGGATTGAAAACTTGCATCGTGTCATTATCTTTTTATATAACACTGCACAGTCATAAGCAAAAATATTGTGATGGTCTCATCAGAAATTCCACAGTTAAATTATTTCCAGATAAATAATATAAAAGATTGACAAACTCCCTTTTCATCCAGGAGAATATGATCTTCCTAGAAATAGAATTAAAAGACTTTGCAAGGTATAGGGGAGAATTCTGTCCATTTATACTCAGAATAAGGCTCTTACACACTGTATCAGGTACAAATGAAAAAGAAAGATGCCTCATTGGTACTTATCCACTTTTTTCCAGATAAAATGAGAACTTTACATGACTTGAAAGGGTATATATATTAGTATTTCATCCCCTTCTAACACCAAGACACAATAAAGTGGAGTGTGAGTGGAACTTCTTATAACAATTAATGCAGCAATTGACTTTTTACCAGAAGTTTGGTAAGATGCTGCTCTTTTACCCGTGTAGTACTGAAAACACTCTGGCTGGGTCAATACATATTAAATAATTTCAACAGCATTGCTATTTGACATTGAGATGTAGTATTATTCTAGTAAGTGCTCCCTAGACATTTTTTGAAGAGATGCATTATTTTTATTTTCCAAATAACGTTTTAATTTGGCTTATTAGTATATAGAATGGGATTTCCTACCCTTCCGTGCTGGCTACCATGTCTTAAAATTCAGCTGGGATCACCTAAGGGGATGAGGTCTGTCTTCCAGATCTCTACACCTTACAGGGATAAGAAGTTTCACTTACGGCAACATCTCCAGGAAGACTTTTTCTTTTTCTTTTTCTTTTTTTGAGTGAAACTGCCAGTCTTCCTGGTGAAGGCCCCTGTCTATGCCTTCCTTGTAACACTACCAACAACTTATATTTGCATGGCAAGAAGATGATTTTCCCTGTATTGGGAAAAAGAGGCTCAAGCGGTCTGGATTCACCAGCTGTTAAACATATAGATTAGAATTAGACCTGAGTGAAGATTCTTGTGCAAGTCAACATTTTTCATACAGCTCTAATGAGCCCCGATTGTATTGGTAAGCCTTGAGCTCTAAAACTCTCAAGTTTGCCATGGTGGAGGAGACATACAGGAAATTGTGAATTCAGGTTAATATTCCTGTAAACTATAAGAGCAGCCCCAGCTGCTAAATCTGGGAACGTGACTAGGTAATTCTGTGGTTGTACTGTCTTGTATCAGATGATAACTCAGAGATAGCTTCTGAGAATGCATTTAATCAATCTTGTGTCCTTTCTTATATGAATGCGTTCTATGCTAAGATTCTGGTGGCTAGCTTTCTTGAGGGGACAATACAGTCATGTTATACTTGGTATGCATCAATACATGCTTAAGTTTTATACCAAAATAATCAAATACATGATTAATAGCTCATAAAAATCCACTGAGCACAGAGTGGTAGTTTTCAAGAGAGTGTCTATTCTTCATTAAGAATTGAGTTTAGGCCAGACATCACTGAACATAGCCAGGAGACTATAATCTCGAACTATTAATGAATGTTTGACAACAAACTTATTCTGAATTTCCTCTGCTGCTTTAGAAATTTTATCTTCATTCACATGAAAATGTCTATTAGTGACTGACAAGACATCCTTTATGTCTCTCAGACAGGATGTCAGCAACATCATCAGATAGATTGTTAGCTCCATGAAGTTAGTTTTATCTGAAGCACATAGACTGCCAAAGGCCTGATGAGTAACTGAATGAATAAATTACCAATGCTCAAATTTCTTATAAATATTATCAAGTTTCAGACTAAATCTACTTTTGCTGGTAGATGAACATTTGATGATAGTTGAAGGAAAGGCCAAAAAGTTCCCCAAAATGCCATTGAAAATAAACGGTGTGCTTCTCAGGACACAGTGGGCTTATTTGGCTTGCAGGATGCTTTAGTTTCTGAAATGAACATTTGAGATTCAGATATGGACTTGGCAAATAAGTGTGAGATCATGGTTCCAGGTAAGAGTCATTATTTCTCTTTTCTATTCCTTTTCAAAGAAAGGTGTCACTGATCAATTAAATTTTTCAAAGTCCAGTTTTGACTCATGAGCTACAATCAGAGGTCTATAAGTCTGGACTCCACATGGATGTGGCAACTTCATAACCAAGGCAGTAAATGTGCAGGAAGATGAAGCTATTTGATTTGGTTTAATGTAGAAAGAAAAGCTAACAGAATACTACTTTAATACTCAAAGAAGGCTTTCATTTTTCTTTTTTTTCTTTCAATCCAATTAGCAGATTAGCTACAATCTCCACTGCCTGAAAATGCAAAAATTAATGGACTTTTATATAGGTTCCACATGTAATGTAGAATTATTGAAGAACATTAGAGTGGCTTAGCAGTACCTTTGTTCCTGAAGCATCCCTGAAGGCATCTAAGAAAAAATTTGAAATGCCACCTACATTTCTTTTAAAGGTAAGATGCACTATTCAATAAAAATACCCCAGCAGGACATTTCTGCCTAAGGCTGAGATTAGAAGATTTCATGTTCAAACCAAAAGTCAAAGACCACCAACAGCAAGACCCCAAGCTGCAAGTTAACATTAAAACCACTGTAAATGTAGGGCTAAGAATTAGCAGTTTGAAGAACAACAAAAATTATATGGCTGAAGATAACTGATTAATAAGAAAATCAACACAAGAGCACCAGACTGAGAATCCAGAAACATGAATTATATTCATGTTTGACTGAAAGAAAGCCACTCTGCTTGGGTGGAAAGTGTGCTCTTGCCCTAAATTCTATGATTCAATGAAGTGGCTAACAAAAATAAGCTTGTTTAGACATCTTCAATGGCAAAGGTAGATGGCCACCTTGGGAGACTGAGAGTGGTAGTATATTAGTCAGGGTTCCCCAGAGAAACAAAATCAATTTTTATATCTACATCTATATCTTTATATCAATTGATCAATAGGAGAAAGAGAGATTTTAAGGAATTGGCTCACGTGGTTATGAGGGCTGGCAAGTCTGAAATATGTAGGGCAGCTGGCAGACTGGAAATTCAGGTAAGAATTGATGTTGCAGTCTAGAAGCCAAATTCCTCCTTCTTCAGAAAACTCTGATCTTCGCTCTTAAGGCCTTCAGCTGATTGGATGAGGCCCACTCACATTATCAAGGGTAATCTGCTTTACTCAGTCTACTGCTTTAAATGTTAATCACATCTAAAAAAAAATTACCTTCTTAGCAACATCTAGACTAGTTTGACCGACTATCTGGGCACCACAGCTTAGCTATATTGACAGATAAAATTAGCCATCATAGTAGGCTTCTAGAGTTTTGCCAGAAGACTATTTCAGTAGACAATAGACAATCTTGGTGAATTCAACTCCAGGCTATGGTCTCATCTTCAACATAGGAGACTTAGAAAACTGATTTTGTCAACACCTTGAGAGTTATCTGCCTTTCAAGATAAGACCCATAGTAAAAAAGCTCATAAGACTGATAGTTAAATGGGAAAGCCAGTTTGTGAACTTGACGTACACCTGTCATGGGAATTGAATACTTGCATTGGAATGACCGGCACATTCCCTTTGCGTAGGCACATATACTTAAGAGGCCAAATTGTAATCAAAAGTTAGCTTAGTGAACAAGGAATCAGGACAAAGAATTAGATAATTCGAATGTTTAATAGCACAAGGTTAGGACAGGTTGACATATTTATCTGCACAATAGGAATATTATCACCAGAGAGGTTGGAATTATGCATATATTGGCCAAGCACTCCCTTTCTTGGATGGGACTCAGATATGCTGAGAGCACTTTTCTAGACTTACGTTACAGATACCTCCTTTTTTGATTGCCACCTTCTTTATCTATGTTAATATATTCAATTATGTTAAGTTTTACAGGTCTGGTATTCATTCTATTTCTTTAAGATGACCCTACCTATTTTTTTCTGATGTATTTTTTAATCTTCAGGAGTGAATATTGTTCTCTCTTATGATTTCAGTGCTGGCATCATTTACCAATGATAATTAATATTTACCAAAGAATAGAGGAAGGGATAGATGAACAACATTTCAACTCTAAACTTAAAGTCAAGTCTAGAATCTAGAAGGTAGATAATTAACATGGGTGTTGGACAGGTCTTGTCTCAGAACCCTGTTACAAGTGCCCTCCTCTGTAAAATGAAAGTAATAAACTTCATGGAATTATTTTGAAGATTAAAATGAGATAATGTAGGTAAAACAACAAATACTTACTGGCATAGAGGAGGTGATTAATAACCAATAATTGTCAGAAATTGTCTGAATTTGCACATTCATCCCCTTCCCTGCCCTGGAATTTGTACATATTTGCAGGTGCAGAATGAGGGGAGATATTTATCTTTTATCTAGAGTCAGGTTCCTAATATTTGGCAGTGCTGGAGCCATCGTGCTTGATAAGAAGACTTATGAGACCTCCCCCTCAGTTCTTGTAAATTCTAGACAAATAGGCTATGAACAAATAAATGACAATCTCAAGTCATACTCTGAGATGAGGTATATCTGAGCAGTTGATGATAAAAGCTGAGCAGGCCTAGGTCTAAAATAGATGGCTGATCCAGTGAAGGATGTTGAAGCAGATGGTCGAAGATGAAGGATGTCATAAAGTATTCGCTCTTCTAACTTAGTAGGGGACAAGGAGAATTACTGCTTCCCATACTTTTCTCTGATCTTTGCCTTCCACATTTTAGTTTATGAACTATTAATAAAGTTGCTGGAAGATGAATATATATTTTAAAGTAATTTCTATAAATGGCACAATATGACATGATCTAAGAAGCCCAGGTTGGGGGTCTGATGATTTGGTTTACGTTCTGATTTAGGCAAGTACTTAATGTACTTACTTGAATGCCCTAAAGTTCAATTTCTTCATGTTAATAACTCCCTTTAGGGCTGTATTGAGAAGTAATAAGAAAGGCCTTTTGTAAGATGCTATTCAAATGTTCATCATTCAGATGTTCAAGTATCAGTTATTACCATAATTAAATAACTTTGTAATTGAAAATTTTTATGTACCATATTTGTTACATTTCTGTAATACCTGTCATTTGGGATCATAAATTCCTGTTGAGCCTGAATAATATATGTGTTATATATACAATATATTTTAAAAAGTGATTTTAAAATATACCTGGTTACACTAAATGCAAGTTACCTTAATTTGAAAGGCATCATCACATTTCATATTTAAAGGTACAAATATTTTTACACAAGTTTCACAGTTTTGCATTTAATGTGTTTAGATGATATTAGATACAAAATCACAAGGAATAAGAGTTCACTGTAAACAAAGGGACAAAGAAAAGTTAGCATGATAGATGTAATCTCTTAATTGACCTGGAAACTGGTCTCTATTCTCAGCTTTTAGCCAGAAGGGAAATGTGGGTGGAACATAATGGAAGATGTCGTTACTGTATCCATCAAAATCACAAATTGTTGGACCAGAGAAATAGTCACATCACAGACAGAGGGCTGATGAAGCAGATGAGGACATCTGAAGGAAAGTCAGAGCAATGGGCTTCTGTATCCCAGGTCTTTCTGGAATTCTCTCTTCTGCCCTGAATTTGTTCTCAAAACTTTATTCATCCTTTAAGAATCAACTCAAATTCTGCCTTCATTGTCCCTCCTCTGGGATTTCATGACATATATTGTGCGACATTCCTATTCCATCTTTTTTTTTTTCTTTTTTTTTTCTGCGGGATCCTAATTCCCAGACCAAGGATCGAACCCAGGGTCCCTGGCAGTGAAAGTGCTGAGTCCTAACACTGGACCACCAGGGAATTCTCCTATTCCATCTTGTATCATAATTAAAATTACTTGTTTCTATAGAATTTTACAGCTTATAAAGTACTTACAGGTACATTATCTTCATTGATGGTCAAAACTAACCAGTAAGGGAGATATCCTTGTGATCCTTGTTGGGCAGAAGAGGAAAAACATTTCAGGGAGGCTCACAATTGGAACTGAGGCCCCAGAAGCAGCACCTTGGTCTTCTGCCCAAGTTGGGATCATCTCCAGTCTAAGCGGCTGCCTTCTTGCGCTCACTGCCATCTCTGACTATAATTAATCTGAGGATGAAGGTGTGTCTGAATCTCTGTCTCCACCCTCTCCTCTGAGCCTTCTGGACTGGACCCTCCTGGACCGGACCCTCCTGGACCTCCACCCAGATCCCTGGACTAGTTCCTATTTGCCTCTAACAACCCCCTATGAATGCTCATCTTTCTTCTTTCCAATAGCCTTAAGCTACTGCAGCAGCTTTGCTCCAAAGAGAGAAGGTGAGAAGAGTTGCTGGGGAGTTTAAGTTTCCTGGGGGTACTTGCCAACACTCTTGCCTCAGATTGGAAGGATTTTTTACCTTCCAGAGTCTTTTGAAGAGTCAGGCTGCACCCACTGCTCTGAGACTGCTGTGCGTTTGCTTGCGCCTTCAGATCCATGTTCCCCCAGCCTCTCACTATTGTAGTTTTATTTTTCTGGGAGTATTTTATTAATAAATCATTTGCACATGAATCCTCTTCTGAGAAACTGATCTTCCCCACCCCCAGACCTGAAACATCTGACCCAAACTCCTTCCCCACCCTCAGGGTCTAGCATAACGTGTTCAACACAGTAGACCTTGTTGGCCATGGACCAATCTTACAGAGGATAAGCAATATACTGATGTACATTACCGTTTGTGTAACAAACATTACTATGGGCCTGCCTTCCATTTATCTATCATTCTGTCACATTCATAAAAATAAGCATGACTCCTCTTTTATCAGTTACAAGAGGGTGAGTCTACTCTTAACCTAAGAGTATTTGTTACCTCAGTGTTGGTTTTTTTCCCCTTATAGTATAAATAGTAAAAATATGTTAGATTTCTCAGAGCCACCAAGACTGATTAGGACATTTAATTATTATATGATTTTTATAGTTAACGTGCAAAAATATTGCATATTATATTTTTAAATTTAGCAATCTCTATTGCTGTCGAAGTAGAAGGCAGTTTTTTTCAAGGTAAAAAGTTTTGTTTTGGCTATAAGTTTTTAAAAATGCAGCGTTCTGATGGAAGGATTAATTTAAAATGAAGTAATCTAGATGTATGGAATGAGGCCCACAAATAATGGAAAGGACACTCTTTGGTATCATTATTTAGTTTTTCCAAGAAACCTCATTCCCTATTTGAGTAAAAAGACACACTCATGCACAAACACAGACGTGCACATACACAGCACAGACTGTGTTAAAGCATATGTTTTTCCAACTATATATGCTATATGCTTAAATGTCTACAACTCAGTCTTCCCACCCCATCTTCAGCCTCCTCAACCAGATGAGAGTTTTCTCTTTTCCCAAGATTTCCACATGTGCCTCTCTTGTGGCATGTGGTATGTTTATCCTGAAACTGTGAATGTTCTCAACTAGTTTTATCCTTAAATCTAGCTTGTGGGCTTCTTGAGATAGTCTGCTACATATTCATAGCCATCACCACATTTTAAAAAACCTTTGAACATTGGAATCACTCATAAAACTTTAAAACTCGGTAAATTAATTTTTTCCTGATTACAAAAATAATACCTGCTTTTGTAAAAAAAGGAAAATTATAGAAATTTTGGGAGAACAATAATAAAATTATCTAAGATCTAATCCCCTAGAGGTAGTTATTGCTAGTATTTAAGATAGATATTTCCTTTCACCATTTTTCTATGTATATCTAATATATACAAGCACATTTAAGTATTGAAGAATTATTTTTTAATTATATGTTGTTGCAAAATAGTTTGGTACCTGACTTTTCTGATGTAATATATCAGTAGAATTTGCCATTGCTTTATTCTACAAATTTATGACTTTTATATGTTACCCATTATTCCATCGCATTGCTATATCATAATTTTTTTAATCCTCCCCATATTTTTGGACTTTTACATCGCTTCCAATATTTTACTCTTATAAGTGTTATACATAATGCTGTAATAAACATTCTTGTACATATAAATATAGTCTTTGAAGTAAATGAATAGAACCATAGAAATATATTATTTTGGGAAAGTTTGTACCAATTTATTTTCCCATGAATAGTGCAAAAAACTATTGCACAATCTCCCTCAACAACCATAGTCAGTTTCATTAAAAAAATAAAACTTTAATTTCATAGATGAAAAATGCTACCTCATTATTTGTTTTAATTTTCATTTTAGAAGAGTAGTAAAGATGAATTATTTTCACCTTTTTCTGGGGTAATTTAGAGATTTTCTTAGTAATTTGTATGGTTCAATATAGTGAAGATATTAAAAATTTGTTATATACATTACAAATGTTTTTTATTATGTATATTATACTTAAAAATGCATATATATGTATATATTATATATATATAATATATACATATATATATGCAGTTTAAAGTAATACAGTGAATACCCATGATTCCCAAACTCAGCCTAAAGAAATAGAAAGTTACCAGTATGTTAGAGCCCTGTTTATGTCCCTTTGTCATGACTCACCCCCTCCCTACCGCAAAGGTAACCATTAACTTGAAATTTGTATAAATTGTTCCCTTGCTGTTTCATAGCTTAGAAATATCTGCATACTAACCACTGATTGTTTAATTTTACATTTGTGCTTTATACACATGAGATAATACTGTATGTATTGTATTGTGGCTTGTTATTTATTTATTTTTGCACAACCCTTTTTCTTTCTCTGAGATTCATCCATGCTAATGCATGAAGCCATAATTCATTCACTTCCATTATTTTATATTATTTCATTGACACATATTTGGAACACTTAACATTGTTATGTTCTTATAAACAATGCTGTCCACACATGCCATCCCAGTGTTTTTCATCTGATGAAAAAATCAGTGATTTTTCTAGGGATATAACTAAAAATGGAATTGCTGGGGCTTCCTTATGTGCTCAGGTACAGTTTTATTTGGTTATATCAAATTGCTTTTCAATCTAATTGCACTGATTTATATTCCCTTCAACAATGTATAAGAATTTCAGCTGTTCCACATCTTTGCTATATAGTTATTATCCAACTGTTTAACTTTTGCCAGTGTACTGTGTTTGGTATTTTCTTGTGATTTCAATTTGTGTATTTTGGTCATTCATGTTTCCTCTTCTGTGTTCGTGTCCTTTGAATAGTTTCCTACTATGTAGGAATTAATTAATTCATATAAGATCTTTACATATTCTGAATGATCATTATTTCTTTGATAAGGTTTGGCAAAAATCTTCCACTTTATGGCTAGTCTTTTTATTTTATATGTCTTTTTTTGTCTTTATGTGCCTTCTCTGACCAGAAAAAATCTTAATTTTAATATAGTTGGGACTTTCCATCTTTGCTCTTATAGTTGCTATGGTTTGTATTGGTTGTGATTGTCTTAAGGATTCTTTCTTTACTCCAAATTTATAAATATATCTTCCATATCATCTTATAAAAATATTATAGTTTTGATCTTCACATTTAAGTCTTTAATCCACCTAGAACTAGTTTTGTGTATGGTTTGAAGAAGGGATCTATTTAAAAATTTTCTATGTGATGAACATTTTCTCCAACACAAATTATTAAATAGCCTCTCCACTGATCTATGTTTCCACCTCTGCCCCATTTTGTGTTTCTATATATATATGTCTCTACTTCCAGGTGCTGTGTTCTGTTCCTGTTGTCTATTTGTCCTTCCTTCCAAAACAATATGGTTTACTACTATGTCATAGGACAAATTGCATTTTCTTGGCTTGGCCTTTTTTACTATTCCATATAAATTTATAAATCACCTTGTCAAGTTTTGAAAACTAAACAAAAACAAAAAAGCCCCAAACCCATAGGAACTTTAATAAGAATTGCTTGAGTCTTTAGCTCAATTTAGGAAAAATTGACTCTTAACAATAATAACTCTTCCTATACACGAACAATGTATTTCTCTCCATTTATTTATGTTTTCTTGAAATTTCCTATTTTCTGCATAAGGGTCTTGTTAGATTTATACCTAGGTGGCTTATATTACTTTGTTGCTACTATAAATTTTACCACCTTTAGATGTCCTTTACAGTTTGTTGCTTCTGTCTATTGA